AAAAAAAAAAAAAAAAAAAAAAAAAAAAAATTATCTGATATTTTGTAATATTACTTGTCCTAGAGACAAACAGACATGATATCTAATAAAAAGTGCTGAGAAGTTGCATTTGGGAGCTCTGAGGTAAGCACCTAAGTAACCCTGGAAAATACTTAGAAGAATAAATTATTACTTTGCCTTCCTTCGAGGTTTTTGAGTAACTGCCTTCTCAGCTGGGTCCACAGCAATACCATTTGCTTTTCGTAATGAAGATGGACTAGATATCTTCTGGGTGAAGGAAGTCTCATGCTCTGAAATAAACAAACCAAATTATGTTTTCAAATGACTATAAGGTAAATAAAAGTAATGTACAAGACTTATAAGGCCTGTGAACTTAAGTTTTAAATAGTAAAGGAGAAGGGAGGGCACGGGAATGGGGTAAAAATAAGAACCAAGATACATCACGTAAAGGTACAAGATACCAATGATGAATGTAACTGTATTGTTTACCTTAAATGTACCAGTAAACTTAATGGAAATAAAATAGTTTTAAATAAGTCAAAATTTTTTCACTATCTTACGAATCTCTAATTTAAAAAATTTTGTACAGCTAAATTCTCAATAAATAATTTGAAACTGCAATGCCAAACAATATGAAAAAAGGTTACATAATGTAATACCCCACCTAGGAATCTCATTAGAAACTCATCACCCAGTTTTTGTTGGGGGCTACATCATGTAGGCCTACATGAACCAAAATTTCAGACTCCCAGAGGAGAAGCAAGTGCTCAACATAAATCATATCAGACAATGTACAACGTGAGCGACCTGAATAATTTTGGGAAAGTTTCCTATCAGTGTAGAGAACTATTTACCATCCAAGTTTCCAAACGCTAATTAAAAGCCTCTATAAGAATAGCAGTTGCATCCTTGCTATGCCAAACAAAAGGCAGGCACAGCGTTTAAACAAGTCAACAGGGCCTTCCAAGGCCTCCTACCTGGAAGCGGCGGCCCCCTGGAATGCTTCAACACTTTCAGATCCTATTTAAACAAAACCCTTACAGCCTGGGCTGGAAAGACTACTCTAAGCAACAAAGCCTAACATGTTGTTTTGAACAACAACAACAAAAATCAAACAAAATTTAAAAATACTGAAATATAGAAAGCTAGACTGGCAAGAGTGCACTCTGGATTGGCAGTGAGAGGTACTCATTGGTCTTAGACCAGGTCCTGAATTTTCTACAAATGCTCACCTCTGTTGCAGAAACTTTTCATACATTATAAACTAGGTATCAGTGTCTATCTCGACTCTCAAATCTGCGCCCTAACAGTGTCACTGAGAGGGCAGTGTCGTCAAACCGCCTGTGCTGCCGGTGACGACACGCATCATTCCACGGAGATGAAGTGCGTGACAGCACCATTCCTGCCTCCTTTGCTCTCACGTCTCATACTCAGGCCAGGCTCCCGGGAGCCCACTGCACCTGTGTCCCTGACTGCACTGCACTCTCCTGACTTCACTTGTTGCTGCCCTTCTACTCCTGTAACTTTTCCATCCAATCAGGGCTGCTATTTTCACAGGGACAAATAATTAGGGAAACTACTTTGTAAAAAATTATTCGAAGACATGATCCCAACAATGAATGTAACTGTACTGTATCCCTAAATGTACCAATAAACTCAATAAAAAAAAAAAAATTATTCGAAGGCTCTGACGTTAACAGGAGACAGCGAATCTTACCATTTTTGCTCCTTCGCTTTGTGTCACTCTAGCAAAATCTTTTGTTTTTTTAATTATAAAAGTTGTACATGTCCTACATAGAGTCAATAAAACCTCTTTCCTCTTCCTAAAAAACCTGTCACTGAAGCTGGGCGTGGTGGCACATGCCTGTAATGCCAGCACTCAGGAGGCTGAGGCAGGAGGATCACAGTGAGTTCGAGGCCAGCCTGGGCCTCCAAAAAAAAAACCTGTCACCCTTAATAGTGCTATATATTTCCACTCTTTTTACTACATATAAATTTGGCTCACCCAGACAATAGCCAGGCTTTACCATTAAGTTTCTTAATCCACTGAAGTGCACACATCAGGATTAAAAGTCAAAGTTTCCAGTTACTGGATAAATCACATTGTGAGGATTTGGTATTTACCCATTTCTACTCTTGTAAATAATATTGCAGTTAGCCTCATTTAATTATCATAGCTGTTACAATCTCCAGAAATATGAATAGGCTGCAACAATTTATACTCATCTCTTATCAGGTATGAATACATTCATTCGTATAAACACTGCGTTTTCTAATTGGACAAAAATGGAAAAAAAAAAAAAAAAAAAAAAAAAAAAGACGCAGTATTCTGTTTACCTTGTGAACAATGCCTGGACATAGGAAAACTCAGTATTGGCTACTGTTGCCTTATAATATCGTAATACAAAATCTACCCCTTCTCCACTAATCTGAAATGTCCATTTCATCATTAACTAAACTCTTACATACACTGCGATCTGAACTATTTTAGTCCTGAATCTGTACCCCTCCTCTCACAACTATGCACAAGTGACCAAAAGAGACATGGCACGCACTCTTGATGAAGCACTGGAAACACATGTAGGAAACGGACGAGGGAAAAATGAGAGCAAACAGGTTTCTGTCACATCCCCACATCCCAAGTGGACCATAAAGCTAACTGTGGCTTCTCCACATACTGAGAGGTGGCCTTGTCTTCTTCTGCCTCCACTGGTCCTCTCTGAGCTCTGGAGTCGGTAGCTCACTGCACACAGATGGCCTACGAAGAACAGGATCAGCAAGGCCTTCCAAAGAAGCACTACCTGCAGAAACCCAGAGTAGAAAAATATGAGGTGATCTGAGCAGAGATCACTGAGCCTTTAAAAAACAGGGAGAAAGAGCCGGTTGTTATGGCGCACACCTGTAATCCCAGCACTCGGGAGGCTGACGCAGGAGAATCACTGTGAGTTTGAGACCAGCCTGGGCTACACAGTGAGTTCCAGGTCAGTCTCAACTACATAGTGAGACCCTGTCTCAAACCACCCCCCCCAAAAAAAAACAAGAGAAAATATCTTCAGAACATTCAGAACTTCCAAAAAAGGCGAAAATATAATATAAATTGACACTATAGATAATTCTTGTACTCTTGCCTTAACAATTTCTATCAACTCCACATAGTTCAGTCCTTCATTAACAAATTTAACACATAATAAACTCATCACAGATAAATAACTGGATTTAACAATTTATAAATCTCTTCATCTGGTCATTCATTTCAACCTTACGAAGTCATTTCACAGAACTTCAACACATTTTGGCAGATCTGAATTTCATTTGACTACATTCTCTGACCTATCTTCTTTACGAAAGAATAGAAATGTGTTAATAAACAAATGAAAATATACTTAACCTCACTAGTATTTAGAGAAACACAAACTAAAATAAGCTATCTTCACCCATTAAAATAACAAGAAAATATAAAGACTGACACTGTCCAATGTTGTTAAGAATTTAGAGAAAGTGATACTCTTGAATGGTTGGTGGTCAGAAAATAACTAGGTTTTCTTGAAGGAAACTTAGCAGAACCTTTCATATCAGTAAGGCATATACCCACTACAGAGCAACTGCATTGCTAGCAATCCACCCTACAAAAATACTGATTTTTCAATTATCCACTATTTTATATAGAAGAATTGCTACACTGTTTGCAGTGAAAATTTAAAATAATACAAATGAACAAGAGACCCACGATTACAGTACATTCTTGTAACAGCATGAAGGCATGGTTTTAGGAACACATAAAACAAAAAACGAAAAAATAGCACATATGGAACATGATGCCTTTTAGGAAGGAAGAAGAGCATCACTACAGAAACTAAGCTTGAGAGGGTACAAGTAAAGAGTGAGGGCCAGGGATTAGCTCAGTCTCGCAAGCAGAAGGACCTGAGTTTGATCCCCGATACCAAAACAAAAAATAAAAAATAAGTAAAGAGTGCAGTTAGGAGAAGATAAAGGTGACTGAGATTAAGCCTGAGTCGGGAAAACGGGAGGTTTAGTTAACAGAAAATTGTAAATGAGAAGTAAAAACTAATGAACTGCTGAAGGTGATGGATTATTGAAGTGTTGAATTTGAGTTACTAACAGAACAGAACACCCAAGGTTATGAGTGGAAAGCTAGGACAAAAGGACACCAGTTTGTCACTGAAGTTTTGACACAGGCCTCCAGGACTGTGTTCTAATGCTATCTCTGGCTAAATGAGGGATTTAAGAACTCTGTCATCAAGCACAGCTTAATACAATTTACAGAATGACCTCAAAGTCCAAGAATATTGAGGAAGTCAGAGCTTGGATGGCACGACACTTCATCCCACGAATGTTGTTAGATACTCTCTGTGGCTTTGTCCCACACTTACTTACCCTGGTTCAAACTCGCTTTAATTCTGTTCTCACCACAGCAGTGACTTGGGGGCCTTGTCACCCTCTGATCTGTGATGTTTATCAGTCTGAGATCCTGGGAAAACCTGTGGAACAAAAAGCTTCTTACCTCTCAATCTTTTTGCTCTAGACTTCTTTTTCTTAGGATGACTAAGTGGAATATCATCTATAAAACAGAAACAACATTAAAAGAAAAAGTTGTCTAAAATTCAAGCAGAGCACAGTCAGACATACATTTACTTATTTATTTATGTTTTGAGACAGGGTCTCACTATGTAGCTGGCCTCGAACTCGCAGTGATCCTTCTGCCTCAGCCTCCTGAGTGTTGGGATTACAGGCATGCACCACCATACCTGGCTAGATCTTTTAGTTAGGAAGACTTTTCCTTTTCTTCCCTGTGTTCATCAACTTCTACACATTAGGGGAAGAAGGTAAAACACTGACAAGGTCAAAGACAGCCCCCAACATGGTACCATTGGGGGGCACTGGCAGTCAGTAATATTTATAACTATCACACAGAAGGCAAGCTCCACAGATGTTCATCCAATCCCTCCACTTCCTACCCTGTTGCCCTCTAGGGTTGCCTACGACTGGTTCTAGCCACTAGGCTCTGAGCAGAAGTGATCTGCATCTAAGGCCATGCCATCTCAAGGGACTCAACCTCGTCTGACCTCAGAAGCTAAGCAGGGAAGGGCTTGGTTAGTGCTTCATGGGAAAAGTGACCTATGTCATTTGGGGGCCAGGACATTGAAAAGCTAGCTGCTGTGGCAACTGAAGAAGTTTCACATTAAGCTTGCAGAACCAGGATGGTTCAACATACATAAGTCAATAAATGTAATACACTATATTAAGAGTCAAGGACAAAAACCCTATGATCCTCTTGACAGATGCAGAAAAAGCATTTGACAAAATTCAACACCCAGTCATGATAAAAACCCTGCAGAAAATTGGAACAGATGGTCTACATCTCAACTTAAGAAAGGCTATCTATGAAAAACCAACAGCCAACATCATATTAAATGGCCCCAAACTGAAAACCTTCATGTTAAAATCAGGAACAAGACAAGGATGTCCACTCTCACCACTCCTCTTCAAAGTAGTTCTTGAAACATTAGCCACAGCCATTAGACGAGAAAGAAATTAAAGCAATAAAGACAGCAAAGGAAGAAGTTAAACTGTCATTATTTGCTGATGATAGGATACTCTACATAGAAGACCCAAAAAATTCCACCAAAGGACTTCTAGGCTTAATTGACACTTTTAGCAGAGTAGCTGGATACAAGGTCAACACTCAAAAATCAACAGCCTTCTTGTACACAAATAACAGACTCACTGAGAGAGAAATTAGGGAAAGAATTCCTTTCACAATAGCATCCACAAAAAAAGAAGAAGAAGAAGAAGAAGTACCTAGGAATCAAACAAAAGAAGCAAAAGACCTCTACACTGAAAACTACAGCACTCTGAAAAAAAGAGATCGAAGAGGATATAAGAAAATGGAAAGATTCCCCCTGCTCCTGGGTAGGAAGAATCAACATACTGAAAATGGCCATACTACCAAAACTGCTATACAGATTCAATGCAATGCCAATTGAAATTCCAACACTATATTTCACAGAACTAGAAAAAATAATCCAAAAATTCATTTGGAGCAAGAAGAGACCTAGAATAGCAAAAGCCATCCTAGGCAGCAGAGACATGACAGCAGATATAACGATCCTAATTTGAAACTATACTACAAAGCCACTGTGATAAAAACAGCATGGTACTGGCAAGAAACAGACCTGAGGATAGTGGAATAGATTGGAAGATACAAAAACAACTCCAGATGTACTCAGCCACCTCAACTTTGACAAAGGAACCAACCATCCTCACTGGAGGAGAGATAGCCTCTTTAATCAATGGTATTGGAAAAACTGGATCTCAACCTGCCAAAGATTAAAACTAGACCCTTATCTTTCACCAGGCACTAAACTAAAATCCAAGTGGATTAAAGATCTAAATATTAAAAAGAGTCCCTAAATTTGCTGGAAGATAAGTTAGGTAGAATTCTTGAAGACATTGGCCTAGGAAAAGACTTTATGAACAAATCCTCAGGAGCACAGGAACTAGCAGAAAGAATCAACAACTGGGATCTCATCTTATTAAAAAGCTTCTGCACTGCAAAAGAAACCATCAACAGAACTAAAAGACAACCTACAATGTGAGAAAAAAATTTTACCAGCTGTTCCTCAAAGGACTATTATCTAGAATATATAAAGAACTCAAACAAATCAGCCCCCCAAATATAAAGACCAGATTCAAAAATGGCCATCTGAAATGAACAGGCATTTCTCAGACAAAGAAATAAAAACAGTAAGAAAAAATTATATGAAAAAATGTTCCACATCACTGGTCATTCGAGAGATGCAGATGAAAACAACACTGAGATTCCACCTCACCCCACAAAGAATGGCTGCTATCAAGAAATCAACCAATAACAAATGTTGGCGGTGTTGTGGGGAGAAAGGAACCCTTCTCCATTGTTGGTGGGAGCCCAGACTGGTGCAACCAGTATGGAAATCAATATGGAGATACCTCAAAGAGCTAGGTCTAGAGGTTCCATTTGACCCAGCGATCCCTCTGCTGGGTATCTCTCCAAAAGAATTAGAAGAATCATATCACAGTGATATATGCACACCTATGTTTATAGCAGCACAGTTTGTAATAGCTAAAACTTGGAAACAGCGCATTTGCCCATCAGTTGGAGACTGGATAAAGAAGATGTGGTTTTTCTATAAAATGGACTACTACTCAGCCATAAAGAATGAGAAATTAGAGTCATTCATAGGAAAATGGATGCATATTGAGGTTATACTCTTAAGTGAAATAAATAAGTTATACAGGTATAAATACTGAATAGTTTCCCTGGTGTGAAAAACTGTAATGGTACATAGATCCTAATGATATAATTGACAATGTGAAATAGGAAGAAAGGGGCTAAAGATATAGGGGAAGTGAGTAGGGTAGGGGAAAGGTAATAAGGGAAAAAATATGAGAAAATGAAAAAATGGAAATAAAGTATTTATAAATAGGGAAGGGAGGAAGGGGTGAAGGGAGGGCAGGGACAAGGGGAAAAAATGGGAACCAAGACCTGTCATGTAAAGGTACAAGATCCCAATGATGAATGTAACTGTACTGTAGGCCTAGAATGTACCAATAAACTGAAAGAGAGGGGGAAAAAAAAAAGCTTGCAGAACCACAAGACGGAAGCAGCTTGGATCTCATTATATCACCGCATCATTAGTGGACTTTGCAATTAACCTAACATTATTTGTAATAGTCCTGCATGATATGAAGTCACTGAGATTTTGGGATGGCTCATACAGCATAACCTTGTCTATCCAGAATAATTTAAAAATATACAAAAAAAAAGTTGGTTGTGCTGGTACATGCCTGTTAGCACTTTGGAGGCTGAGGATTCATGGGTTTGCAGCCAGCTTGGGCTACACAGTGAGTTCAAGGCCAGTGTGAACTACATAGCAAGACCCTGTTCCAAACAACAAAAACGAATAAAGAAAAATGAAGGTATAGTTTCTATTACAGAGCTACAAAACCAGTAAATGGTCTGGGTGACTGTTCAGGGATGAAGAGTATCTGTAATGGCAAGGCAATCTAGTGTTACACATCATCTCATGATTAAGATTGCAGCCATGGGAGACTATTATAACACATAAAAACTGTAGGATTATGAATAATACTGTTCAGATTCAATTTTAAGAGAAATAAACTTATTTTTGTTTTTTGGGTTTGTCATTGGTTTTTGGTATTTTGAGACAGGATCTCACTATGTTTCCTTGCTGGCACTGAACACTGGAGTCAAGATCCTGCTGTCTCAGCATCTCAAGTAGCCGTGACTACAGGCCCACACCATTATGCCCAGCCCTCAAACTATATTTGCACTATATAGCCAAGCACTATATTTCAAAAATTTTACATTAACAGTAAACTAACTCACCTTTAACATCACTTTACACCACACCAAACAAATTTAATCAGCAAGAAAAAGACAAAAAAGAAAGGTATTAATTAGAAACCTATTTTATTGTCTGACTGAAAATCGATTTAAATCATTACAATTTTTTTTTGTGTGTAGTACTGGGGATTGAACTCAGGACCTTAGGCTTGTGAGGCAGGTGGTAGATCCACTGAGCTCAAATGCTGGTTCCTAAATCATTACAAATTTAAAATAAAACTTTCAAAGAATGTCAGCTAGTTTACAAGCTAGTCCATTATATAAGTAATAAGCTATCTAATAGCACTAATAAAATAATCCAATTATTCTGAACCTACATATATATTTTTTACTGTTAAGAACACTTCTTCTCATTGATTAAAGTCAGCTTACCGAGGAAAGTATTCTAGAAAGCAAAAGACAATCAGAATTCTCATAATCAAGACACTAAAACATTCAAAAGGGATCTATTATTCTATCATATTGACAGTCAGGCTCTTAAACAGAACATTTAATTACACATTTAGCCTCATGTTTCAAGAATTTTTGTTTGTTGTTGTTATTCAAGGAATTTTTCTGACTGTTACTAGTCAATTTTTCCAGTTTACTCACGTCAATTAATTTTTCAAGGGTCCTAGTCATTCTTTCTCATTTAATATTTCTAGTGCTCAACAACAAAATTACTATAAATTAAGCTTACCTTGGCATGGGTGGAAGAGCTCGTGGAAGACACTTGGGGAGGAAAGAGAAAACTGCTTGATAAATAAAAGCCTAGATCTAGAACATCTTACCTATATGTGTCTCAAATACCACAAAATTATTCTTTCAACAGCCTGTTGTTCAGACATGACAAAAATGTAATGGATCAGATATGTATATTGAAATCTTTTGATAATCATATTCATCGCTGAAACCTGGGAGATACTGATATAAATCAGATGGGTGAACTTAAATTTGTTTTACCATTTCTGAACATCATATCTAATTCTTTCCTTTTTATATTTCTTTCTATCTACAGGCCAGATCCTTCCATAATCATCAGGAATTGGGACAAAACTGAGGTCACTGCTTTTATGGAACTTATGTTCTACTGGTTATATACTAAAAATAATGTTAAATATATGATAAAATATATATTCATACATGAAAATAAATACATATATGAGAAAGAATGAGGCGCGTTTAGGCAGTAAATCTGCTTGAGATTTTTAAGCTGAGACTTGACTAAGAAACAAGCCAGTTTCAGCCCGTGAGGGGCAAGTGCCCCGGGGAGGAGCAGGCGGCTGAGCTCCAGGTGACAGCAGACTGCAGAGCCTCATCAGTGTCAGCAGGGAAGAGGTGGGTCAGTTAGGGTCATGCAGATCGAGGAAAGGAATCTAGCCTTTTGTATAAGTTAAATGAGAAGCTAATGGATATTTTACACCACATGGTAACGTGGTTTTGAAAAAAGCTCACTCTGAACAAAGTGATGAATGGATTTTAAGTATATGCTGCTTTAATTGAACAAGAAAAGTCATGTTTGCAGTTCAGAGAACAGACTCTAAGCATAATTCTGGAATCTTTCAAAATGAAATACTACTAAAAGGAATGCCCAGAAGCCCATTTAATATCCAAAGTACCTCAAGCTGCTTGCAGAAGACACTTTTTTGGGGGGGGAGGGGTTACCAGGGATCGAACTCAGGACCTAACGCTTGCGGGCGCTGTGCCACTGACCTAAATGCCCGGCCCAGAAGACACTGATTTAAAGGTGCTAAATTTTAGATACTCTTGCGGTTTGTCCCATTTAGCAAAGCCACTTCCTCAGATTAACACAAACGCTACAAAACTAGGGCGCGGCTGGTGTCAGTATAACCCAGCAGTCAGAGTAACACCCAGGTGGCAAGCACACGCTGTTCCAGGAATGTCAAGACGCACTTTCCGCGCCAAGCCCCTAGTCCTTCAAAAGCAGGTCGGCTCAGCCGAAGGCAAAATCCCTAATCGCTCAAAAACCCCTAGGGCTCGCTCACCACCTCTGCCTTCGCCATACCGCCGGGGGCCGGGATGCAGGTCCCGGGAGCCACACTCCCAGCCCGGCCGCGCACGCGTCATCACGATGCGCCGTGAACCCCACCCTCGGCCGGCCGCGCGCGCTGGTGAGATGCGTCATCAGGCGGCGCCTAAGAGTACCTCAGGCCTTGCGCTGCTGGGGAAGAAGTGGGGTCGTGAGGGTGCGGGACCTGATTTGACTTCTCCGAAGTAGCCAGCGAGGAAAGGGATTCGGGGTCAGGGCAGACGTGCAGTGACTCCGGCAGTGAAGCAGCTGCAAACACGGTTTCCCCCATGGTTTCCTAGGTAGTCGCTGTGAGTTGTCGGGCAGGGCCGGACGTTGGAGAAGAACTTGATATGCAAATATCCACAGGCCGGCTGTGCTCTTCTGGGCAGCTGAGAGCGCTGTCCTCCGCGAACCGTGAGACCCAGGGGCTGTGCTGGCGCCGGGAACCCGTTGCGCGCTCCAGGCGGAGAAGCGACGCGTCGCCTTGGCAACACGGACTCGCGCGCGGTCTTGCGGCCACTGGAGCTGCGCGTGCGGCCTCGGGCTGCTCGTCCTCTCCCGCAGCGGTGACGGTCACAGTCACGACGTAAAGTCAGATCTGAACTCACAGAAGTGTCATTAAAAACAGCTCACCTTTTTCCTTAATTTGTTCAATTTAGGTGAAAAAGAACAAAGATTTTTGGATCGTGTACTCGGCTTTACAGTTTAGAAAGAGGGACGGGATGGAGGCACGGTGTGAATATGGAGGAAGTTAGAGGGCACGGAGGCGTCGAGCAGACCCTTGGCTGGAGAGCGACCGAGCCTCAGCGCCAGAGGCCCTCATCCTTAGGTCTCCAGGACTGTTCCTGTTGTTTCCTAATCGAGGCACGCATATGGATGTTGGCTTTTAGGAAAATTCGAGTCAGGCGGCGGAAAACTAATGATGTTACACCTCTGATTGGACGGATACTTTTTCCTTGTAACCTATTTGTAGGTGATGACTGCCGATCTGTACATTTTGATGTTAGGTGTGAAATGTGTATAATAACCTTTCTTGCTGAGTTGGTTAAGTAGGCTCTTGTTAAAAAAAAAAACATATGAAAATAAATTTCACAAAGTAAAATACAGATTTTGAAACTAAGTACTGCTTATTAGGAAAGGTCCTTTCCCCTGACTCTTACAAAGACCATATGCAGTCTATGGAAGGTTCTCATTGACTTAGTTAACATTGCACTTATTCCTACCACTGCTTCATATAAGGTACAAGAAAAATTTTTTGCCCTGTAACCGTGTGATACATACAATACCATATATAACCATACAGTTTCTTCAAATAATGATTTAGTAAACTAGTGCTTTACAAGTTGCACACATTTTAATTAGGGTCAAATATTGCTGTTTTAGATGTCAGCTATTACCTCTGTAGCAAGGGTACAATGGTAACAGTCCAATTTTATACCAGAGGGCCGACAGCCTCCATATCGGAGGAAATCCATGTTGCTGATACCCACTGAGGTTCTTCCTGAGCCTTCCGTATGGCAGACAGCAATTGGGCACATGTGTCTTGCAAATTGTCATTCACAATCACATGATCAAAAAACTGGCCAAACCAAATCTCCATCTTTTGCGCTAATTCTTCCATCTTTTGTAAGTCTTCATCCTTAAGGAAAAACAGAAAAATATGCATAGCACAGACTTAATAGGACAAGTAGAAATGATACACAGTTTGTTACACTGTCACATTCAGTTGAGCTACTTAGAACAGTGAGTCAAATAAATGTCCTCTATTCTAAACTACAAAATTTAGTGATAATTTGTAGATAGGTTATTCCCCTCAACATCTGAAAGTTATTTTACCCCATTGTCCACACACGTAAGGCTTTCAAACCAGCATAAAAATAAAAAACTACTAGTTTACATAAAACTTAAATTAACATTAATGTAACACAAAATGGCCAATTTTCACATGAGGATGATATGACCTAGTTCTATCGAATTATACCTAAATTATCCTTTGCTTTATGGTAATTTTATTTACCTAGAGTATCTTTTGTTTTTGTACTAGGGATCGAACTCTGGTAGGGGGGAGCATTGAGCTTGCAAGGTAGATGGCAACACCACTGAGCTAAATCCCCGGTACTCTTTTTTCTTTTTTTGAGATAGGGTCTCGTTATGTGCAGGCTGAGCTTGAACTCATTATGAAGCCAAGGTTGGCCTCGAACCTGTGGTAATCCTCCTGCCTCAGGCTCTGGAGTGCTGGCATATTATCTATTTCTCTTGTGAAATGTTCATTCAGGGGAAATCATGGGGCTTAGCTTGTCACATGCTTTACATTCAATGCTGTTATTTTCTTTTTCATGACAATGGAAACATAACTTGTTCTCAATACAATTTTAAGTGCAAATACAAATGCAGGCACTGAAATCCTGTGGCCTTACTCCTTTACAAGATGGCCATACACATGATGCAGAAACAGTTTTGTTATTTGTTTAGACTGCCACAAAAATGAGAATGCAATTTCAAATGCCCTAAGGACTCAAGAATATATACACAGACTCCACTGCTCTAAACACAAGCTGGAAACTTTCATAGTCATTGAAAACCATGAAGATAAAAATAGGAAAAGACAAGGGACAATATAAAGACACATCCTGCTTGCTTTGGCAGTACATATACTATACTAAAAGAACAATATGGAGATTAGCAATGGCAGTTGCCACTACACAAGAAAATAGTTGTAAAGCAGTAATTTCAGTTTTACAAGGTGAATTCACTACTGAACATTACTGAACTGTACACTTAAAATGGTTATGAAGGTAGCTTTTATATTACACATTTAACACCCCCCCAACACACACATGCGTGCACACACACAAGTGGCTATAACAGCTTGATCTGAGTGATGGTGACATGGGTGTGTACACTGAGTTGTACACTTATGATTTATACACCTTTAGTGAATCACATGGTATGGCTCAAAATATCTAAAGTGGATTTATTGGAGAAAAATAACTAGAAAAAAATCACCTATTGTGGAACAAGTTCACTGATTAATCCCACCTAGTTTGGCTCCTCTATTCTTACCGTTTTGTTAATAGACATTTTTGCAAGATGACTCATACTACAGATGAGATATACTCATCAGAGCATTTTTAAAAAATAGATGTTTGCATACCTATAATCCCAGACTCCGGAAGCTGAGGCAGGAGGGTGACTGCAAGTTTGAGGCCAGACTGAACTACACAGTGAGTTCAAGGCTAGCCTGAGCTACCTTGACCTTTTTCAAAACAAATAAATAATAATCCCTCCCCGCCAAAAGTTCAAATAAAAATAATCTGTTTAAATATACAAGTACACATAGCATTTTATCTTTAAATGGTACTGGGGATCAAACTCAGGCCCTTGTGCTTTTGAGGCAGGCAGCAGAACCACTGAGCCAAATCCCTGGCCCTATACCCAGTGTTTTTTAAATGATGGATAGGCTTGTACACACCCAATTGCTGTTTAGTTTTGCAAACCGTGGCTTGAGAATTTATTTAAAGTTAGACCAAAGTAAGAAAAATCATAGCATTTATTAAACTTTATTTTAAAATCAGTAAGTAATGTCCAGTAAAAAGGGCAAATCATAAAGACATTATTCATTATAAACAACATACGTACTTTAATGTAGGGACCCTGCAGTGTACTTTTCTTAAACATTTTACTGGGGACTTTAGGGAGAAGGTCCAAGAAGGGGCCAGGAGAACCTAGGTCAAGGTCCTCATCCTGCAGCCCGACCAGCCTCCCTGGCCTCACCCTCACTGAAAACAGTGCAGGGACTTGACCTGATCTACCTTGAGCTTCATGTCCACTAAATAGGTGGTACCGACCGTGGCATTCTTCCGAGATTGTTTCATACAGCTCATGTTAGATGGCTTTATAAATATGACATAGGGCTTCAGTTCACGGGTTCAAGCCACTTGAATATTCTACGTAGAAAAAAATAAGTGCACATTTAAAAACAAGTTTTAAATTCCTTTAGTCAATGATGAATGTTCTCAAAATTTCTAGGGTCAGAAATTAGCAATTGTTAGGGCCAGGGATTTAGCTCAGTGGTACAGCTGGCTGCCTCACAAGTGCAAGGTCCTGAGTCCAATCCCCAGTACCAAAAAAAGAAATTAGCAATTATTTTTAGCTAAAGTATAATACCATGTACTGCAAATTACTCAATTCTTTTTAAAAATGTGTTTTTTTAAACAATTAAAAGATGGATTTGTACAATGAAAATGAAGCTCAAATCCTGGCTCTTCTTTCTAGTTATCACTAGCTATTGAAATCTTACTTGTTGATTAAGTTCTGTACACGACCGGATGAGGATCTCATATGACAAATACAGGATCTCAAGGTGGAGCAGCTGTTTCATGCTCCCTTTTATTTCCCTCTTATTGGACTTTCTGCCAGCTTTGCCCTGACCGCTGGCTTTGACCCGATGAAGAAGAAGCCTTCTTCCCTCATTCTCTACAGCACACACCGTATGTTTTAACGAGGAAAGCAAACGCGAGGCTGTTGAAACCTGGGCCTCCACATGGCACACTCCTGACCTTGCCTTGACTTGCTCACCCCAGGTGTGACAATGAGGGAAGCTCACTTCCTCTGTGAGCCCATTCCTAGTCTTTCCCAAGGAGCTACTTGGGGCCGGGGATGTGGCTCAGTGGCACTGTGCCTGCCTCACAAGCACAGGGTCCTCAGTTTGAACCCTGGTACTGCAAAAACAAAAACACAAGCCGCGAAGCTACCTTGATATGTTTTTCTGTTTATTTATTTATTTATTTTTGGTGCCTGGGATCGAACTCAGGTCCTTGTGCTTGCCAGGCAGACAACAGAACCACTGAGCTAAATCCCTGGTCCTTCTTTTATTTTTTGAGACAGGGTCTCACTATGTAGTTGAGACTGACCCAGAACTCACTATGTAACCCAGGCTGGTCTCGAACTCACAGCGATCCTCCTGCCTCAGCCTCCTGAGTGCTGGGATTACAGGTGTGCGCCACCACGCCTGGCTTTAATTCCCTTTTTTAATAGACACTACTCCTTCCCCAAAGAGTTATGGGATGAATGGACGTGAGTATCACTGCATGTGGAGGGCTGTGGTGGGGAGCCTGGCACGGCCGACGCATAGCAGCATGTGGCCTGAGCAGCCTCACCCGTCTGAAACATAATGTCCTCTCCAGCTGCCCCTCCAGGGGACCTAAATCCAAAGCAAATTATTTTTTTTTCAGTTATCTAGACATCTTGAAATAACCATATTTTCTAGATTTTAAATATTTTATTTTCATTTTCTACGTTTTTTCATGCTGGGGATAGAGCCCAGGCCTTATACATGCCAGGCAAGTGCTCCAGCACTGAGTGGACGCCCGCTCAGGTGTTCTAATCGGCCTCCTGACCTCCAGTCACCCCGGAGGACAGGCTTCTGGTCAGTAACCCGAGTGACTCCTGTGGGCTGCAGTGTGTCAGGCACTGCGCTGAAGACTGTGGAGACCTGGCCGGAAGGGCAGAGAGGCCGAGTTCCAGGCTGACCGACCCAGGCCTCACACCAGACAGCAGACCCAAGTCCACGGGCACCCCTGTACCCCATGGCCTCCCTCAGCTTCACCACAGCCTTGAGTTCAGCACTGAGTTGAGGAGAACACAGAATGGGGTATAATGTAGGAGAATTAAAAGTGAGATCAATACCAAACATCGGGTCAAACATAAAACTTAAATTATCTCTGACAGACCAACCACCTCATGGAAAATAGGAATTTCGAAACAACATAAACTGTAAGTAGTTCTGGTTGCCAGCTCTGCCCCTCTCAGTGCTGTCTTTCATAACTAATCATTGTGCCAATCTTCCTTTTCTTATGAAATAAAATTCATAGATAATATAATCCACTGTACATGTGCCTTTGAAAATCCACATAGGTGGGCCAGGGATTTAGCGCAATGGCACCACGCCTGCCTCATAAGCACAAGGTCCAAGTTCGGGTCCTGGTACCAGGAAAAAAAAAATCTAAATAATGGTGTGACTGCAATACAAAGGGAAAATAAGAAGGCAGTCACATCCTACACATCAAAATATAAAACCTTGGGCATGTCTTCTCTCAAGATGCTTGCATCACCTCAACAGGAAGCATCATGGACTTAACAGTGAAAGGATGGGTAGATTTCTGCAGTGTGGAAACACAGAAGAGCTGAGAGGTGGGCATGAGATAAAGTGCTCTGCTGAGGGACAACAGCCAGCTCACACGTGTATGACACAGACGGAAAGCGCCTTCCATGAAGTAGGACTAGTCTGCTGGGGCAAGCGGAAACCAGAGAACGAAAAAAGGAGAGCAAGCAGTGAGCCGGACCCTGGCCAGTCCTGTCCACAGCGCCAGTGCTGACGCACCCAACCCCCATACTGGGGATCGAACTCAGGACCTTGCGCTTGCGAGGCAGGCACGACCCTGACAGTTCTTAAAGATGCTGGGTAGGGACTCTTTTGTCACTAATGACACCAATAGCGTCCTGAGGGGTAGACACCTGATCCTCACCAGGTGTCATCCTAGCAAAAGTAACGTGTTGAGGAGAAAGTAAGCAGCTGCAGTACAGATGCTGCATTTCCAGCTCCGTTACCCTCCACGTGGAGGAGAGGCAGCAGGATGAATGAGTGTCCAGTATAGCCAGGCAGTGTCTGTCTGTCCAAACACCCTTTCCAGAGGGCTGGCTGCCCTGAAACCACAGCATCCAGCCCAGAGACTCCATGGTCCCAGCACTGGGTATGGAAGAGCTGCATCTGCCCTGTGATGGGTTTATCCAGCAGGAAGACATCTGTCAAGAGACAGCTGTCACCAAGCAGATCTCGCACACTGCAGGCAACTGGCCCTGAGGGGCACGCCGCACTCTACCCCACACAGAGCTCAGATGCCCCGTCCAGATAGCACTGTGAAGCTTGCTGTCTCATAGCCACACCCTTTATTACACTTTGTTTGTGAGACAGGGTCTTGCTATGTAGTCCAGACTGGCCTCAGACTCACAGTGATCTTCCTGCATCAGCCAGTACTGGGATTATAGGTGTGCGCCACCACACCTGGCGATTTTTAAAATAAATTTTATTATGTGCATTTGAGGTCTGCAAGCTGATATTACAGGATACAAACAGATACAACATGGTTACTATATGAAGCAAACTAACATATCTATCATATTCCATGTTTATTTTTATTCTTATTTTATTTCACTGTTGCACTCAATTATTATATAACATCCTTAAATGTTTAAATTATACCAAAATATGAAATTTACATTTAAAAAGCAGCGCCAAATACAATATTAATTTTTTACTTACCAGATTCAAATGTTTCTTCATCTATGGTTTTCCATGGAGGCAAAAAACAAGGATATCATTTCACTGCTGTCCAGGCTGAGTCGACCTACGTCTTAGCAGCCCAACTGCTGTCTTGTTCCACCACACTTTAAAATGTGTTCCTTAGCTCAAGGTTAAGTCATGGTACAGTGAGCATGATGACAGGGTATAATAAGAGCTCAAAGCAATAAATAAAATAATTGAATAATAAATAAAATAATAAAATTTTAAAAGCAGTTCAGAGGGAAAGGAAAAGCTGAATGTCCAGGAAAGCCCAGGAGGTGGTACAGCCTGCAGAGCCAGGGACCCCAAGTGGGGATGAGGAGAGGGTGCACAGCTTGGGGGTGGGTTTGTTCAGCTGACTGAGGAAGAAAAAACATCAACAACTTTTGGCATCTGTTAAAACAACTGTTACCGGGTGTGGCGATGCACACCTGTGATGCCAGCATTTGGAAGGCTGAGGCAGGAGGATCACTGTGAGTTTGAGGCCAGCCTGGGCTGCATGGTGAGTTCAAGGCCAGGCTGAACTACATGGTGAGACCCTGTCTCAAAAACAAAAACCAAAAAACCTCATGTTAGCATTTTAAAAAGAGATTAAAGATTAGGACACTAGGATTTCTATGAGGTCAGTTTGAAATACACAGCAAAGTCCCTGTGCATTCACCTCGGGTCCGGCAGCCCTAATCTGAGGTAGACCATGAGTGTGTGAAATGACACAGTATAATATTGCCCTGAGTGCCAACAACCGGACATAACTCAGATCTCTACAAAAAAGTAATTTGCATACAATACACTGTAAAAAAGATGAAGAGAGGGCTTTTTGATTACCAGAAGCATGAATTAAAAGTGAGGTGCAGGAAGTGTGCATGTGAGACGTATGCGGAGAACATGGGTGGGTGAAACATTCACCAGCTCAATCAGTATGCGTACTTGGTAGAATAAAGTATTCTCAGAATTCTGTAGTTGTTCTGGGAACCACATGTGACTCATTCCCACAGACCCTCATATCTCAAAGCCAGACACAATAAAAAGCCATTGGCAGGCTAATGTCCTCCAAATAGTTTTCAGACAAAATTCTGGTGATTCCTAAGCCATTTTAGTACCACTTTCAAATTTGAAAAAATCTTTTCAATACCTCTTAAAATAAAAAATCTTAAATATAGAAATGTAAAAAGCTTTTATATATTTCTCAAAAATTTGGAATTCTCTAAGAATTTTCTAATGGTATCAAGTTTTGAAATAAAAATATGTATTTTGCTTTTTACTTTACTTTTCTTCCTTTGGTTTTTGCTTTTGTTTTGTTTTGGCCTCTAACTTGCAGCAACCCTCTTGCTTCAGCCTCCACAGTGCTGGGATTACAGGCCTACGCCACCACACCCGGCCACTTCACAGTGCACTACTTCACACTGTTCACAGAGCACCGGGCTTCGGGGCTCCCGGCGGTGGGCATCCCGTGGCCCCTGGGGCCTTCCCACTGCTGCGCAGAGAGAGCCCCAGGAAGTGGGTGTGTGGCGCATTCATTGTCCCTCCCGGAGGGGTGGGGTCACCTGTGACTGAGGTGCGACTCATTTCTCCTGGGGGTGCAGCAATGCAGAGAAAAGGGTATCTGCGTCCACACCCTCCTCATCCATCTTCATGTCACTGTCTACAGAACAGAATGGGGGGTATTAGAACTTCAAATGTTCAGCACTAAAAGCAAAATTCCCTACACAGAGGCGGATGTCAATCCAATTCAGAACACTCCGCAGCAGCGCGCGCTCTCAGAACTGGTGCTTTCTGCTTTCTCGGTGGTGCTGCTGCTGTATCGGATGAAAACGTGACACGGGAGGTGACAGAATGAAGCGCGGTCGATGCTGGACACGTTGGTTACCTGTGGTCCATCTGTGAGTGGGACAGGGCTCACTCCCACCACACAAGTCGGGCTTTGCTCAGGCACACGGTTAGTGTTTAATAAATGTCAGCTGATTTCCCAAGCCAACGTGTAAAGCAAATAAGAGAAAGCCACGCAGTGGGACGCTCACAATGCCCCACATAAGCTGAGCCTCTCCTGGAAGAGCCACTTCCTTCCCTCACATCTCAAATCCTGCACAGCTGACCTACGGCTCATCCTCTGAGCCTGGAACGATTCCCTTGGCTTCCTGAGTGGCGAGGATTGCAGGCTGGACAGAATATCTTAACGTGTCTTTTTCTCTTCTTTTTTCCCTCTTTCATCTTTGCTTTTTCATGGCACTAAGGATTGAAATCTTCCTGCCTCAGCCTCCTGAGTGCTGGGATCACATGTACACCACCACACCTGGTCATTAATGCTTTTAGAAGAGATGTAAAAGTGATAAATTGTAAGAAATAACACTATAGGACCACAGTGCTACTTCATGTAGAATAGTTATTTCTCCTAAGTTACTCATTGGACAGAGGCACAGATAAACAAGTGACATAGCAGAGACTTTCAGCCCTGTCACTAATCCCCGTGTTCATTTAGAGATTTTCTAGTTTAGCCATTATAATGAGTTCAGTGCTTCACTACACATAACTAGAAGTTGTTGTCATTTTTAAAAGCAATCAAAAAGGACAAACATCCTTCCTGTGTCACAGATAAAAGTGAGAGAGCAGGAGCAAATCTCCAGTCCTAGCACAGGGAGCACCGACTTCTCTGCCTGGTGGCCTGGGATCTGGGGTAGGGCTGCTGGCTTCTCACTTCCCCAGACCAAGCACTCCACACGAAGGGATGAATTGCTTGCCACAATATTCTCACGTCAAAGCTCTCACCTTCAACATGACTGGACTTAGAGATAGGGCCTTTTAGAGATGATTGTGGTGAAATGAAGTCACATGGCTGGGCCCCTCATCCAAGAGGACCATTGGCCTTATTAGAAGAGGGCAAGACCCTGAAGATCACTCTTCCTATGCATGCACTTAGGAAAGGCTCATGGGCACAGAGTGGCAAGGTGGCTATCTAGAAGCCAAGACAAGAGGCCACATCAGAAGCCAGCCCTGCTGGAATCATGGTCTCAGGCTTCCGGCCTCCAGAATGACAGAGAATAAATTCGTTAGCTGTACAGTCTTTGGCATCTTGTTACCACGACCCAAGCCAGGGCTCACTGCCTGCCTAACCCAGAGTGACCCCTGCTGCCCTTCATAGCTAGTGGCAGCCTGTGACAAAAGCCCCTCCTGCCTCCTGGTCCGGATCTGCCATCCTCTGTCCATGTTATACTCTGCTCCTGTCCTTGGGGGAAACAGGTGGAGTCCACAAGGGCAGAGCGGTTCTCAGAAGTTCTGCAGCTCGGGTCTCCCTTTCCAATCTGACTCAGAAATGTGGGCGGTGACTAAGGGGGGCGCTCTTTCTCTCTCCTGCAAACAGACATCCTGCTTGGGAGTGTTTGTGTGTGACATGTCAGAGGGCCTCAATGGGATGGCTGGACATGGTGAAGGAAAAGAGATCATAAGGTCCACTCACCCCAATCCCAATTCAGGGCCCTTACACAGATGGAAGCTTGAATCCAGGCTATCTGGTCTGCAGCTTCGAGATCCCTGTCTACCCTTACTGAACCTCAGTCTTCTCATCCATCAGATGGTAATAATAATGATTTCCTTACAGTGGTGTGTTTATACGATGTGTATAAAGCAGTAACACAAAACACCCGATTGGCTTCATGGGTCTTTGAATTTGTACCATGGCTATGTTAGACTCTAGAGCTGCCGACAAATGCCACATGCCTTTCCCTGATTTTGTGCACTGTTGGAATAATTACTCTGTGCTATTGCACTATGAGTTACATAGAACTTAATAAATAGGTGAACAGAGTTGAATTTTTAAAGGTAGAGGAAATTTCTAGGAGGCTTCAGAGGTAAGGGTTTTTTTTGTCTAAAAGTGTTCTTACCTTCTTCCATAGAAATTGCTGGGTACATACAGGCAAATGGTAAAAGCAGGAAACAACAACAAAAAAGAACACATGCTCTCATGTCTCAGATTAACTTATAACCAGAGAAGCAAAGTGCTGATATTACTGTAATTAATATTCTTGAATCAGTGGCAATTAGTAGCGAGAGGATCAGTGACTACCACCCAGAAAGGAAGACTCTGTGAGCCTGGCTCACCCTACACTGGCTCAGGAAGGCTGGGGCTGCATTTTCTGCATTTCTGAATGGATGCATTTGGCTCAGCATTCTTTAGGAACTCAGATCCCAAACGAAAGGAAGAGGAGGAGGGAGGAAGCAAAAGAAGGAAACAGGGATGACAATAAATGCATCTTCGATAAGTAACTTTTTACGAATCATCTGCAAACTCACATAGTCCTGGAAGTTTGGTTTTTTTTTTTTTTTTTTTT